CCACATAGCCATGAGTCACCCAGAGAGCCAGGGGCCACATAGCCATGGACCATACAGATAGCCGAGGCCACACTGTCAGCAATGGGTCCCAGCAACAGCCACAGGCCACACAGATAGATAGCCAGGGGCCACGCTGACAGCCACGGTCTCATGGGCTCTTTGGTCTGGAGCCATAGAGAAACCCAAGTGAGGAATAAAAAAGAAGATTCTGTAAACAGCACACAGCCTCTGGTGACCAAGGCCATGCCACCCGGGGAACACGCCGCCCGCTCCTGCCACACAGCACGCGCAACGCAGACTTTACAAAAATAGCAACTATCTGAGAATACTCCGCTGTTCTCTGCCTGACAGTCATCAAATAATTTATACAAGGTTAAAGAAATGTAGAAAATAAACATTTTTTTGTTTTTGGTGGTTTTTTTTACACAAAATAAAGAAACTATGCACATGGCCTCGGCCTCCCGTGGCTGGCAGGTGGCAGGGCCCCGGCGAGGGCTCCTAGGTCCCGGCCAGCGGGCGGCTGTGCCTAGTCCTTGCCAGCACAGGGCACGTCCGTGACATTCCTGACGGCGCGGTTGTCCACTTTGGGGCCTGAGGCCCAGAGGGCAGGCCTCCCCAGCGAGCTGCTGGGCTCTTTGGTGAACTGACTTGAGAGGAACTTCTCCACCTCCAGGGAGTCCACCTCTCCGCGGCCCAGCTCCTCGTCCTCCTCCTCGTCCCCAGCGCCCCCGAGGCCCGCGGGGCCGGGCAGCGCCTCTCCCGCCCTGCGTGGTGGCGTGAAGTTCTTGCACTGGTATAGCACATCCTTGTGGCTCCCTCCACCTGGGCCCCCGCCCGGCCGCTCGATGGGGTTCCGGATGGGGTTGAGTGGGGCCCACTGGTTGTTGGCGCTCTCGTCCCGGGGCAGCCGGCTCCTCTCCCGCTCTTTCCTGCGTTTCCGTGTCCACCACACACAGATGACCACACAGGCTAGCCACAGCACACTGAACACGCTGCACAGCACGGGCACCAGCAGACCTGGGCGAGGGAGGGGCTGAGGAGCTGCTGGGGCACCACGCCCCCGGCAGACTCCTGCAGGGTAGGGCTGGAGGCTCCCTGTCCCCCACCCAGCCACCTGAGCCTGATCTGCCTGGTGCATTCCCACTGGTCTGGGGTCCTGCTCACCTGTGGAAGAGCCGCCCATGACAACCGTCTCCACCTTAACCTCGGTGACCGCCAGCAGCAGGGAACTATTGCCCCGCTGTGTGATAGCAGCCACAAGGGCATGGGCTGCACTCTGGATCAGGCTGCTGTCCGCCAGGTCCCGCGCAGGGCTGAAGGACTGCAGCAGAAGATGGCCTGTGGGGACGGCTGGGGACACACTGCTCTTGTCCCTGAAGCCTGCCCCAGAAGGCCTAGGCCCTGGTTAGGGGGCCACCAGCAGGGGGCGCCATGACCAGGGCTGTGCTGCCCGTGGTGAGGGCCTGAGGGAGCCTGGGGCCCAAGGCTTCCCCTGTGGGGGGCTCATGGGAGAAGAGCCTCTGACCCAAGTGCTGTGCAAACCAGCGTTGTCCCCAGGCCTCGACCTCTGCCCATGCGCCCTCGCTGGCACCCAGTCTGCACCTCAGGAACTTTCCACCCTTCACTCTCCCTGACCACTGTCCTTCCACACCAAGCAAGACCACCCACCCTTTGTCGGGCATCCCTTCCTATGGAACCTTCCCCTTGGTCAATCCCACCAGCTGCCAGCTGACAGCCACTTCTTCTAGGGCATGCCCCTACCCAGGGCCCTCTGCCCAACAGCCCCGACCTCTGTGGCTTCAGATAGCACACACAGGAAAGGACTTCTGCCGCCCAGCTGATGGGGTGCTGGCCATCACTGTCCATGCCTCTGACCAGTACCTGCCCAGCCTGCTACCTGCTGACCCACTTCTGCCCATTCTGCCTCTGCAGCCCAGGCCCAGCCCTGACTGAGACCTGAGTTCCCCAAAGCCTCTGTTCACTCCTTCCACACCACACAGGGCAGCCACTGCCCTCCCCACAAACAAGCTCCCTGTGGACCGCGTTTGGTTGGACCTGCTCTGGACCTGTCCCTTGCCTCTGGCCCTCAACAAGCTGACTTCACAGCCTCCCACAGCCATCAGCCCCTGCAGTCTCTCCAATATAGCACATCCTGGTATCCTGTCATCACGTCCTCCAACCTTTGCCCTCCCACCCTTCCCAGGGGCACTCGGATAGCCGTCCAGGCCCACTGTGTACCCACTGCTCTGCCCTCTTGCCCTGCTGACACTTCTCCTCAAGCCTGCTTGGTTCCAAGGGACTTCGGCATGTCACAGGTCCCCTAAGGGCTCAGGATGCACTTACCATGGCCACCTCCACTGCACTGGCCCCTGAAGAGGCCCGGTCACAAAGCAGCAGGAGCAGGCGGTCATGGGCCACTGCCCTTGTGGCAGGCAGAGAGCGGATCCCAGAGCAGATGGCGTCCACGGTGGTGCCCTGCAAAAGTGGGCAGCAGGTGAGTGGGGCCTGGGACTGGCGGCCTGAGGCCAGCAATCCCTCAGTGGCCATTGGCTCATGGTGAGACACACCTTGCAACCTACCAGGGGAAGCAGAGCAGACCAAAAGGGCCTGCCCTGCCGCCGCCCCCCACCCCCCGTCCTGGGGCAGCAGGTCCACCCAGGGAGATGGGGAGGGGAGGAGGGGCTGGAGGGGCTCAGGTTCTAAGACCCCAAGGGGGATGGGCAGGTCAGCTCTGGGCACCCAGACGACTAGGGCAGGACCTTGGCAGGAAGGAGAACTATCCACAAAGCTGCAGGCAACAACCCAGATCAGGGCAGCCACCTGTGGTCCAGGACCCAGATGGCCAGGTAAACAGGAAGCCCAGCCTGGACCTGCTCTCCCAGCCTCCCCCATGACCAATGGCACCCAGGATGCAATGACCCCTTCATCTGAGTACACAGGAGCACAGGCAGCCCTGGGCTGTGGGAGTGTGCACCACTTACCCGGGGCACCTGGTCACCATCGAAGCGTAGTGTGAGGCGTGCACAGTTGTTGTCCAGGTGGCCAGAGCGCGGCAGGCAGGGTGTGCTGGGTGGCAGGTGCTCCCCTGCACCACACTCCCCCCAGGCCTCGCAGGGCGGCTGCAGGCACTGGCCTGGGGCCTTCTCTCGGCACTGCTGCCCGGGTGGGCACTGGGCACTGAGGGCGGCAGGCTGGCCAGACAGCAGACAGGGCTTCCACCCACACCACACCTGGGGCAGGCATGGACATCACGGGGACAGGAACCGAGGGTTGGGTCAGCGGGTCCACCATGCAGCCCTTCCCCCACCATCCAGGCCCTAGGAGCCAGGCTGAACACCACAGTTCAGAAAGCTTTTCCACCGGAGCAGGTGGCCCTGTGAACCCAGGCTCAGCCTCAGTTTCCCCAACTGCACAAGGAGGGGTGGGGCCTGGCTGGGCCCAGGGGCCCTCCCAGGATGTCTCAGAAGTAGGTACCTCCAGCCCTGACCCACCCCCGCCCAGCCTCCTGACATCTCAGAGCAAGCCTTAGGATTGCGGATGCCGGGGGTCAGCATCTCAGCAGACCCAGCAGGGCGGGCAGGCCCGTGACTCCAAGCTGGGCCCCACCTTGCTGCAGTCTCGGTGCCCGTCGATGCAGCGGCAGCTGTTGCAGTCTTCCAGCCAGGAGCTCCCGTGTGGGAACGGCGTGCCCCGGGACCAGCAGGACCTCCCAAACCCTATCACTGCCAAAGAAGAGCAGGGTCGCAGGGGATGTCTGGGCCCAGCCCTGCCCAGCACCACCCCCACCAAGCCTACCTTCCTGGCATCGGGGGCCAGCTCGGCCAGGTGGGCAGCTGCAGCGATACCCATCGATCTCATCCACACACGTGGCCCCGTAGGCACAGGGTGAGGACTGGCACTCATCGATGTCTGCAAGAAAGTGGCTGACACTCAGGGGCAACAGGCTGGCACCAGAGCAGGGCCTGGGACCTGGGCAGGGTCCCCATGGGAACAGCCCTGGGCCTGCCAGGCTCCCTACAGCAGCCTAAGCTGGGATAGCGGCTGCCACTGTCACTCGTCAGCCTGAGGCATTCCCACCCCCACAGCCCTCCATCTGCCTCTGGGACGGGGATGCACAGGGGTCTCCAGGCACCAGGCCTTCCTAGGACACTCCACTGCCAGGGTAGACCCGGTGGACAATGGCCCTGGGCCACAGCTAAGAGGCTATGCTGTGCCCTGATGGCCCCCTGCCTCCCCTCATGACCCTCAATTGGTCCAGGGCAGGGCCACCACTTGTCACTGGAGGGCATGCCCTAGGACACAACAAGACACACAGTTGGTGCAGGAGAAGCAAGACGTGGATGTCTGGGTCCCCAATCTTGACACCCAGGCTGGCTGGAGGGGCCCCCAAGGTGGCAGCTCACACCCAGCGCCCACCCAGCTCGTCTAGGCTGCTCACTGATGCGGCAGTCAGGGCCTGCGAAGCCAGGTGCACACTCGCAGCGGAACCAGTTGACCCCGTCCACACAGAGGCCACCATTGTAGCTGCAGGGAGAGGGTGGGCATCAGGGTGTCCCTCCCTCAAAGCCTCCACCCCACCTCTGGGGCTGCCACTCACCAGGGCAGAGGGTTGCAGTCATTGGTGTCTGGATTTGAGGGAAGAGAGAAGACCATTGGTCCAGTGGCCACCTGCCCAGCACACCTCCACGCCAGACCTGGGTGCCCAGGCTCATGGGCAGACAGATACTGTCCACACCAGCCCCCCCAGGCTGTGGGGCAGGAGAGCGGTGGAGGAGTCAAGAGTCCGGGAAGGGTCGCCAAGGAGGTGGATAAGGGGCCTGTGAGCAGGAGCCCTAAGCTGCAGGGGGAGGGCTTGGGCAGGGGTGAACTTCTGGGGGAAGGGTGAGTGTGGGCGGGTGGTGGGAGGAGGAGGTCTGGGTAGGAGACTGATGGAGAGATGTGGACCGCCCCCCACACTGGACAGGCAAGTGGTCCCTCACAGCCCGCTCCCCAGCTCACTGTGCGTGCAGGTGCGGCCTTCCCAGCCCTCCCGGCAGATGCAGGAGAAGGAGTCCCCGCTGCCCACGCAGGTGCCCCCGTTCAGGCAGGGGTTGGGCAAACAGCTGCTATTCTCAGCTGTGGGAGGGAGGCACGGTCGGCTCAGACCCCAGCCCAGGTGGGGCAGCAGGGACTGGGCAGGCTGTGTGCAGCGGGTGGGGGCTCCTTACCAATGGTGCAGGTGCTGCCCTTCCAGCCCGGGGGACAGGCGCAGCGGAAGGTGTCTCCGCTGTCGTAGCAGGTGCCGCCGTTGCTGCAGGTGTAGGCGTCACACTGGAACTCGCCTGCGGGCACACGGCGGCTCAGCAGGCAGGCCCGGCCAGGGCAGGGTCCCGGCGGGCAGCTGCAGCCGCGCACTCACGCGAGTGGCAGGTCTTGCCCTTCCAGCCGCCATCGCAGGCGCAGTAGAAGTCGTTGACAAGGTCGTGGCAGCGGCCGCGGCTGTGGCAGGGGTCGGGGAGGCAGTCGTTGGAATCTGGGGGCGAGGACGCCGGGTCAGCGGGAGCACCGGCGGGGTGGAGGGGCCAAGGACCCCAGCCCACCTGCCTGGAGGGGCGCAGGCTTGCGGGGGGCGGAGTCAGGCCCTGGAGGGGCGGGACCGCACTCACTGGTGTCGCACAGCTCGCCCTCCCAGCCGCTGGGGCAGAAGCAGCGGAAGGCGTCCACCTCGTCGATGCAGGTGCCCCCATTGCGGCAGGGCTGACCCAGGCAGTCGTCAATGTCTGTGGGAGAGGGCCCGTGAGTCCCAGCGGCCGGCCTTCCCACCCCCTGCCCCTGCAGGTACTCACTCTCATGGCAGTAGGTGCCGGTGAAGCCGCTGTCGCAGACACAGGAGAAGTTCCCCCCGGGCTGGCTGACACAGTGCCCGTGGGGGCCACACACACCGGAGGGCCTCGAGCCAGGCACCCGGGACCCTGCCTCCAAACCGCAGCCATCGATTACTGTGGCAGAGGGACAGCAGTCAGGCCAGCGGTGCCTGGGCTTGCCCCACCCTGACCCCACTGGGCCTGAGGGCTGCGCCCTGCACCTCTGCAGCCTCCACCAGGGCAGGGCGCCCTGGGCACCGAGCAGTTCTTGCCGCCAAAGTCCTCAGGGCAGGCGCAGTAGTAGTCGCCCTCCAGGTTGTAGCAGCGGGCACCATTCAGGCAGGGGCTTGGCTGGCAAAGGTCCACGTCCACCTGTGGCCCAGGTGGAGCATGTGTGAGAGCCCAGCCCAGACGGGGGCACCACCAGGCCTGTGTTCACCTGAAGGCAGATCCCTGGGGAGCCCCAAGGCCAGGCCACTGCTCCACCTAAATGACCAGCCCCAGGCCGGGCAGTGCCAGCCAGAGCCTGGAGGGAGGCCTGCCTGCTTGAGACCACACTGGCCGTCAGCTGGACGGAAACACCTGTGGGTCCCAGGGCCCTCCCAGCCCCTCGCCTCCACAGCCCGAGCTTCCTCTGCCTCCCACAGCAGCATCCGGCCTCAGCTCCTCCTGCTGGCAGGAAGGCTAGCTCCCGACCCCACATGCCAGGCGCCCTCAGAGCCAACACTGCAGGTCCCTCCCTGGGTCACTCCATGCTCACAGACCCGAAGCCAGGCCTTTGTTGGGCAGAAGGCCAGAGCAGAGGCCAGTGTGGCCAGGGCCGAGGAGGCGGGGGGGGCTCCAGGGAACGTTCACTGCGGCTCAGGACCCACTGTGACCCATGACACCCTCGCGCCCAGGCACCCTGCCTGACCTGGGGCTCTCTTAGGCTGCCCACCTGCCCCCTCCATCAGATGGGGCTACCCTGCCCAGTCAGGCTCTCAGGGACTTGGGGGACAAGGTGTGGGGGACACTCCTGGGCCACTCTGGGGAGCTCCCACTGCAGCCCCTGCAGGTCCCTCAGGTGGCAACACGGCTCGCAGCAGGGCTCACCTCGCAGAAGAGCCCTGACAAGCCCCTGGGACAGTGGCAGCGGAAGCCGTCCACCAGGTCCTCGCAGACGCCACCCCCACGGCAGGGGCTGCTGGCACACTCGTCACGCTCCAGCTCGCAGTGCCGGCCTCCAAAGCCGCGGGGGCACAGGCACTGGTACCCGTCCACCAGGTCCTGGGCGGGGCATGCAGGGCCATGAGGCAAGTGCCTCCCAGCCCTCCCACCCAAGCCACCCCCCAGCGCCCCAGGGGCAGCGGCCACAGTGCCCTACCTTGCAGGTGCCACCGTGCTGACACTGCCCACGACAGTCATTGACATCTGGGGGCAGAGGGTCCAGGTCAGGGTCGGGGCCCCCCCCCCCCGGCATGCCCCAGCCCCACCCGCCTGCGCCCACCCATACTGACTGATGTGGCAGTTGATGCCCTTCCAGCCCGGGATGCAATCACAGTAATAGCCGCCAATCAGGTTTTTGCAAGAAAAAGCATTAAGGCACGGCTTCCCTTCACACTCGTTGGCGTCTGTGAACGAGAAGGGAGCCGTGGGGCTTGGGCCCCACCTGCTCACTGCACCCTGCAGCCGGCGCCCGCAGCCCAGCAGCAGCCGCAGCCACATGCACAGCCTGATGTCCATGCGCACGTGGCCCCGGGCAGCCCTTACCCAGCTGGCAGGTGGCCCCCACCCACTGCTCAGGGCAGATGCACTCGAAGCCGTCCACCTGGTCCACACAGGTGCCGCCTGCTGCACAAGGGTTCGAGGCGCACTCGTCAATGTCTGTGGAGGGGGAGAGGCAAGGCGTGTGGCACGGTCTGTGTGGGGAGGGGCCTCCCCTGGTGGGAAGCAGGGCTACATGCCTGGGTCTCCCTGCCACTGGATGTCCTGGCCATGGCATCCATACTGCTCTCCCCCAGGTGCTGTCCTGACCCTGAACCCCTCAGGGCCACCCCAGACACATGCATGGGCACTCACCCAGCGCACAGGTGGGCCCACTCCAGCCTGATGGGCAGTGGCACTCGAAGCCAGATGGCACCTCATGGCAAGAGCCCCCATTGGCACAGGGGTTGGAGGCACAGGCGTGCTCAGCTGCAGAATCAAAGTGGGGGTGAAAGGGTGGCACCCAGGACCCACTGCTGCACGAGGGCTCCTCCCCGGCCCACAAGGCCCAAGAAGTGCTCCCCAGAGACCAGCCCTCAGCCTGGCCAGAGTTCTGGGGTGGCTTGGCAGCGTACCCCGCTCGCAGTTCTTGCCGGAGTAGCCATCAGGGCAGGCGCAGTGGTACTGGTCAGGCTCAGCGTTGATGCAGGTGCCCCCGTTGACACAGGGGTGGTGGTTGCCACAGTAGTTCAGGTCTGGGGGCATGGACAGTTCCTCAGGGACAGAGCCTGCAGTTCCCACTTCTAAGCTGGGGTCTGGCCTCCACCCCTGCCCCTTCCCCACCCCAGGCTACCTTTATCACAGAGCAGGCCACCCCAGTTGGTCTCACAGTCACAGTGCCAGGGCTCCACGCAGCTGCCATGCACACAGCCAGGGTAGGGGACACACTCGTCACAGAATCTCCCCTGCCAGCCGTAGCTGCACCTAGGGAGGCCAAGGTGTAAGGTCCATGAGTGGCGGCTGAAAGTGGCTGAGAAGCAGACAGTCATGCAGGCCACCCCAGGGACAGCGGTCTGGCTTTTGAACCAGAGTGGCTTCAAGCCAGGAAGGGGTTAGGAACCTGCCGGCCAGCCACTGCCATGGGCACTCCCGGCTGCTGGCTGTGGACACTCGGCCCCAGCTGTCCCGTCACTCCTCCCCGAGCTATTCTGGGACTCAACCCTGAGCCAGCCCCAAGCACAGGCGCCGGCAAAGGAAGGCCCTGCCCACCGGGGCGTGCACACCAGCTCCCACTCACCAGGTGCGCCAGGCCTGGCAGCTGGCAGCTGCTACGGGGCCCAGGCAGGCCGGCCAGGCATCAGGAGAGGCTCTGCCCACCCTGGCCGTGTGACCCCGGGCATGCACATGACCTTGCTGCTACTCAAGGCCAGGAGTTGTGTCTCAGTGAAGCCCGTGAAGGGCATGCCTCAGGAATGCCGTGGCCACAGGCTGCGTGGGCAGCCCTGCTGAAGGCCACACGGGGAGGCTGCCGCACCAGAGGAGCTCCCTGGAAAACGGCCCCAAGGGCCCCTTGGTTCTGAGGCCTTGATGCTTAGGCTGGGCTCCGCCCCTGCTGCCCGCCAGTGTCCCCTCTGGCAGCCCTTCAGGTGTGCAGGCGACACAGAGCCACCAGGTCAGAGTGCCCAGGGTCCTACAGCAGACGCCCCAGGTCCCAGTGGGCTGCTCTCCAGGCCCCAGGGGGACTCCAGGGCCCTTCCCTACAGCACTCATGTCCCACAGGACGGGAATGACGTCCAGGCCTCGTCACTTCCACGCCGGCACCTGCCACGAGTTATTTTTATAAGAGGAAAGACCGCAGCCCTTCCTGAGCTGCCCTCGGCCCCGAGGCCACTGGCCCAGCTCACCCAGGCTCACAGTTGGGAAACTGAGGCTGAGAGCAGGGGGCTCCAGGGTCCAGCCCAGGATGCGCTGGGCAGGTCCATGAGGCCTTGGGCCCCACCTGGCGTCCTCCCTCCAGGTGACACTGGGAGATGAGGCTCAGGGTGGGGCCATGACTTGCCTTGGTTCACCCGCCAGGGAGTGCAGGGCCGGGCTCGGAGCCCAGACCTCGTGGGTCCCAAGGGCACGCTCTTGGCCCTGGGCGGGGCAGCCCACGCCACGCAGCTTCCCGCCAGCAGCTCCAGGGCCTGGGGAGGCGGCAGGAAGGCTCAGCCATCTCCCGTCTCCGCAGCAGCATCCGGCTGGGGAGGGGAGTGTCCTCCGCTGAAACCCGAGCCTGGCCTGCTGGAAGCAGCTGCCTCACCACAGGGCCAGCAAGAGGGTGGGTGGGGCTCACCTACTGCCCCAATGCTGTGGCCGTGAAGGGATGGCTGTTCTTCCATCTCCTCCTGCCTCAGTTGGGCATTCAGGCCACGCAGCTGCCAACCACCGGGGACGCTGGTACAGCTGTCACAGTGGTGCACTGCACACAGAGACCAGGGCTCTGACCGAGTTCCCCACCCACAGGTCACAAGGGAGGGCTGAAGTGGAGGGGAAAAGCCATGCCTGGGCTGAGTCACGAGGCCACCCCTCACGCCACACTGTCCTCTTCCACCCAGGATGTGGCACCTGGTACCCCTCACAGGACATGGGCTCACTCTGGGCCAGAGCCTCCTGTGTTCCCTGCAGGGCCCTGAGACCACCAGCTAGTCTGAAACCCCATTATGTTCAAGGGACAGCCCCCAACCTGGCTCCCCTCCCTCCCTGGGACTGAGCGGGGCTACTGATCCATCTCTCGGCCAAGGCACCTCCGGTCCAGCCCCAAGCCCTGAGGTCCCTTCCCTGCAAACTTGGTGCTGTGTGACCTTTTCTGCTTCAGTGTCCTGGACTGGAGCACACCGGGCCCTCAGGGGAGCCCTTCCAAGGACGTCTGGAGGCTCCACGCAGCCTCCCTCCAACAGCAGACCTCTGCTCCAGCGGCTCCCAGGGCCTCCTCCAGCACCCACAGTGTGCGTGTCCAGCCAGGAGCACCCCCAGCCCACGCTCCCAGCCCATGCCCACGACTTGCTCCACAAAGTGGCAAAAGTGCCCTTGAAGGGTGCCCAGTACCCCTCACCCTGATCACGTTGGCCCCACACCACCGAGCCAGGACCTCTTCTGTCTGCACCCAATGGCAGCAGCCCCCACACCTGCGTGTCTTCACCTGTTGTGGGGACTTGCTCCTGGTCTCCGCCCTCAATCTGCCCAGCCCCAGGGCCCACACCTGTATGCACAGGCGCCCATTTCTGGGCAGACCTCTCCATGCCCACATTCACTGCTTCTCAGCTGGCCTGCCCAGCTCAGGCTATAGGCTGGGGCTCCTTCTTGACCCCACACACTCTCTCCTCCATGTATCAAACCCATTTCCAACGCTGGTCCCTAGGGAGCCTGCAGGACTGGCTTGCCTGGCCACCTCCCACTGGGCCCTCACCCCCCTACCCACCTGGCCACAACCCGCAGCAGCCTGCTCCCCACAGCCCCCTGTTCCACCGGGCCGCCTCTCCTTCCCCCTGGCCTCCTTTGCTGCCTCTCCCCCAGTCTGGTCCCCGGTGCTCCCCAGAGTTCCTCCTGTACTGTGGACTCCCAGTCTGCTGGTGGCTCTGAGGCCTCTGACCCTTGGGGCATGACCATTTGGCTGTCCTCCCCAGGCCTCTGTGGTTCCATGGAGCCACCACCAGACACTCCTCAGGCCCTGTATAGCCACATGCCCCACAGGGCAGGATGACCTGTTCTTCCAGCGAGTGGCTGACCCAGCATGGTGCCTGGCGCAGGAGGTGGTGGACGGTGAGGGGAGGGCCGGAGGGCGGCGCGGGGCTCACCTGCACTCCCCAGGCACTGCGCATCCTCCGTGGAGCAGGTTACATCCTTGCTTGCACACGGCTGTGGACAGAGGAGCGGAGGCATGGCTACAGCAGCCCGCCCGGCCCACCCGCCCCTGCCCGCGGCCCTCACCTTCCTTGCACTCCTTGCCCATCCAGCCGTCCATGCAGGCCTTGTTGCCGTACTGGTCACAGGTGTAGTGGCCAAAGAAGTCGTTGCGGGGCCGGCAGAACTTGTTGCAGGTGGCACTGTAGTAGTTGTCATCGCAGCGCACGCGGATCTGCAGCTCCAGGTGCGCCACATGGCCGCTGAAGTGGAGGCTCTTCCAGCGGTCCTCGGGGTTGATCATGCCCGCGTGGGACACCCGCTCGATCAGCAGCTCCTCTGCAGGGGCAGCAGAGTCAGCCAGCAGCCTAGTACCTGCCTCCCCCAGGAGAGGCAATGGGCCCAAGGAACCAACCCGTTGGTGGCCTCAGAGGCACTGGGGCAGCAGAGGAAGCCACAGACGCTGCCACAGCTGGGCACGTTCTCCAGCCAGGCAGGAAGCTCAGGGCCCAGGGGTGTCCACCTTGCCCTGGCCCACCCCCAGCTCCCCCTGGACACATACCGCACACCAGTGGGGTGGGGCCCACCAGTACAGCAGCCAAGGCCATGAGGAGCCCAAGTCCCCACACCTGAGCCCCACTGCCCCACACATGGCCCTGCCCCAATGCCAGTACCCACTGGTGCTGCATCTAGCCCCAGCCTCTATCTCCCAGCAGCCACCACTTAAAACAGCCTGCCTTGGACCCCAGACACAGGGGGGTCAGGCGCCCCGCAGCTGGGTCTCACGTTGGAGGCAGCTGCTGGGCGGGGGCACCCTGAGCCAGGACACTCTGTGATGCCTTTCCCTTTGCCTTCGCACCAGGTTGCATCAAGGAACCTTCAGACCCCACCTGGCCCTCGCCATGTTCAACAAAGTCTGGGGTCATCATTCCCCTGAGCCAGCCCACCCCCCGCCAGGCCTCACACCCTCAGCCCAGCCAGCCTTGTCAAGGACCCTGACGAACTTGCCTGGGCCTCTGTCCACCTCTGGTCTGAGCTTCTGGCCTCCACACGTCCCCAGCCTCATCAGTGGTGGCCCAGGCGTGGCTGGCTCAGCCCACACAGCCTGGAGGCTCCCCCGGTGCAGTACATCCAAACCACACCAGCCCCTCGCCCCGCTCCGCGACCCCGGCCCACCCTCAGCTCCTACCGACTGCCTGGCCACACCTGACCCTGCCTGCCTTTGGCCCACCCTCACGGGCAGCCTAAGCTGGTGCCAACAAGGAAAGGCTGGAGTCTGGCCTTGCTGACCCTGTCCTCCTGCAAGCACAGGGGCCTGGCATGGCTCCTCGGACGCCAGGTGCTGCCCACCTGCAGGCTCCATGCCTGCTGCTCCTCTGCCTGGGAGGCTCTTGTCCATTTGTTCATACCACAGGGCCAAGACCCTCACATGCCAGCCTGCAGAGGGGCCACTGGTCCCACGTTCCAGGACAGAGGGCCAGGGAGGAGACCATGAAACCAGAGGGAGACACTTGAGGGGTGCCCCACTGCACAGCGTCACCAACCAGGGCCCCAGAAGAACACGTGCAGCAGAATGGTGCTGGACAAGCTGGGAGTGGAGAGCAGGTGCCCCACGGCTCTGCCAAAGCACAAAGGTTGGTCCCCGAACAGCAGCTCCGTCCCCAGTTACCGGCCTCCCCGCGGCCGAGCGGGGAGCGCAGCCTGCAGCAGCCACCCTCCTGGCCCCCGCCCAGGCGCACTCACCATCGGGGGTGGTGTCGTTGTCCCAGTCCCAGGCCTCCACGATGAGGGTGAAGGAGCGCTGCAGACAGAGGTGCAGTCAGCCCCAGCCAGGAAGCCCCCGTCCCACACCCTCCGGCCACACCTCCACAGCCCTGCCCTCCTGGCCACACAGGTCAGCTCCTCCTCGGAGCCCCGGAGGCCACACCCAGCCATCCTGAGCTGACTCCAGTCAGCAGGGAACTCAGGGGGGTGACCCGCCATGGTGGCACAGACAGCCCACAGGTGACCTGACAGGTGTGCTCCGTATGAGAGCACCCCATGGCAAGACACCCGAGGTCCCATTGCCAGACATGCTGTGCCCGCCCTGCTGCCCCTCCACCAGGCACGTGGAGTCGCCCCCACAGGTCAAATTCAGGCGCTGCCCCCCAGACAGCAGCTTCACAGCAAACAGGCAAAACCCATAAACGCGTCCACCCAGGCCCGGGCAGGTGCAGATGAGGAAACTGAGACCCAAGTGGTCCTGGGCCTGCCCGGCACAGACTCTGCCAGGGCCGCAGCTGCCCCACCATCTGGCCCTCCTGCCCAGCCATGGGTGCAGCTGTGTCGGTCACTCTGGCAACACAGACCTGGCCTTGCAGAGGGAGCTCTGAGCTGCTCGGCTGCACTGCCCCTCAGGCACTTTGTACAGCCCGGGACCCTCTGTGGCTGCGTCCACACTGCCCAGCACCATCCTCAGGGCAACCATGAACCCATGAACAACCCCAGGGTCAACCGGCTCCATCAAGCCAGGGTCCCTGGGATAGCAGGTCTGACCTCAGGCCTGCTGGCCTTCCACCAAAGGGACACTGCACAGGGCATCTGGGGAGGCACCCCCTCCCTGCAGTCGGGCTGTGCCGGGGAAGCCACACAGCCCCAGAGGGCCCACTCTCACTGCCGCATCCTCCCACTGACTCCAACCCTAAGCCTGGCACCCTCATCCGTGCCTGGCACCTAAGAACTCAGCTTCCCCAACCCAGTGCCCACCAGCCCCAATCATGCTCAGCCTCCACCACCCAGCCTGGCTTCAGGGACCCCTGCCTGGTGACACCTAAATATGGACAGCTTAGGCCAGCAAGGGAGCAAGGCCACAAGGAGGGATCACCTTGCCTCCTTCTAGAAGCTTCCCAGTGGGGCTCACCATGCCTCTCCATTCCACTTTTTAAGTCTTTCTTAAATTCTCCTCCCCATGCCTGCCACGCCCCCCCTCCCCGCCAGGCGCCAGCAACTGCCCTTCTCCCAGGGCTCCCTGTAGCCACGAGGACTCCCAGACCCACCCATAGGACCCAGGCAGTCCCCAAGCGCCCAGTCCTTGTCTGCCTGGTGACAGAGACCTCCTGGGGCTCACGGCTCCCGTGTTCACAGCCACTACCTGGGCACACACTTGTCTGCCTTGGGGCCTACACCTGGACACCTCTGCCTGGCAGTCCTATCTGCCTCCTGGGGACAGTCGAGGCCTCCAGCCCATTCCCAGGCTCCACCTGTCCCCTGCACTCTTTCACATCAGGCGTGGACCAATCCAGCTCCAGCACGGAGAACTCCTGTCCTGGAGGCCTGGAGAGGGGCAGGGGGACGGGGACTGCCGGGCAATGAGGCGGCACTGTGAGCAGAAGGACCACACAGCAGGGCTCAGAGCAAGGACAAGGGCTGGGAGGCAGCACCAGGCAGCATGCCACACCTGAGGGCCACAGGTGACTTTGTCACTGACACTCCGCAAAACAGAGGCCACTGAGGGTCTGAGGCCAACAGTTCCACAGTTGCTCTAGTTACTGGGCAGGACATGGAATCATCAAGGCCAAGAGTGAGGACAGGGCCAGAGTGGATCTGAGACCACCCAGTGGGCCACGCCGACAGGCCAGGGCCCAGCAGCTCCAGCTACACCTGGGCTGCAGGGTGAGCAGGGAGCTCCTCCCAGCTCCCAGGAAACCCACGCCAGCCGCCCAGGTAGGATTACCGCCACCTTCGCCTGAGCCTGGGGCTCCAGTTACACACTCCCACAGGGACATGAGCCCGCCCGCCCGCCGCCCAAGAGGGCCCCACCGCCCGCCAGATGGGCTCCCTACACCTGGGCGGCAGGAAGTCATCCAGGGAGAACCTGAGCCGGCAGGCGGGATGGCACCTGCCTCTCGCCCACCTGCCAGGCCCTGCAGGCCCTCCCAGCTCCTCTCTCCCACCCACCAGCCTCTAAGACTCCATTTCCTCCCCTGCAAATGACAACCTGTGGCCCGCGGTCTGGGGCAGGGTTCTGTGGAACCCTACAGGACAGAAGGAACAACGGTGCTGAGTGGATGCAGAAAGTTCCTGCTGTTCCAAGGGATGGGGCTAGGGGGCCATGGGGACTTGGGACCAGCAGGGGAAATGGGTGGACTGGGTGCAGGTCCGAGACCCCCACCTGCCCAGGTTCCCCAACAAGCAGGAAGAACCCAGAGCCTCCTCCCAACCCAGCCCCCTGAGGCCCCCAGCTGGAGGATGTCATCACTGAAGGCCTTGCCACACTTGTTCCCACGGCCTGGCCTGACTGAGACCCACACGTGGTCACACTCCTAGCCAACCCCACCCCACCCCATGATGACCTCTTCCCTGTGCAGAGCCCCAGGGCTAAGTCCAAACTCATCCCACCCCCAGACAAGGCTGGTGGGGTGAAAGGCAGATGTGGGACAAGCGCGCCACACCAAGGCCACCGCCAGAGGCACCCAGGCCAACAGAGCCTCAGGCTCACTGCCCAGGCCCAAGCCTCCACCTGGCTCTCTCCACATGCCCAGCGACCCCAGAGCACAGCGCCAGGTGCCAGAGCCAGGAGCTCTCAGCAGATACGTTTCCTGAAACCCGAGCTTCGGAGAGGCTCAGGCCTGCACCACCATTGTCATCCAAGGGACGGGGAAGGGCCCCCACCCCAGGCTCCAGGGACCCACCAGTGACCAGCCTGAGAGCCCCTCACACTCCCAGGCCCTCACTAAAGGAGAGAAGCGGCCTAATTCAGGCTGAGCATGGGTACAGGAATCAGTTGAGGTTGGCGACCAGCTAAGGTTGGTGATGAGGACCTCTGTCAGCACCACGGCCTTCAGGTCAGGCCCTGGCTTGGCTCTCCGGGATCCCATACCGGCCCAGCCCACTCCCCATTCAGTGCAGACACCACAGAACATCCAGGAAGACTCCTGGGAGCCGCGATCCCTTCCCAGCCAAGCCGCACCCGCACACCCACCTTTGCAACTCACCTTCTCCCCAACTACACCCTTAAGGCCCAGAGAAAGACCCCCAGCCATCTGCAAACCCCCTACTAGCTGGGCAGCCCTTCCTCCTCCCGGGTGCAAAGCAGAGCTCGGCTTGCCCCGAAACCCCCCTGAGCAGGACTCCTGGTCCCAACTGAGAAGGTGTGGAAGGGTCAGACAAGGCAGTGCCCACCCCACCCCAACCTCCTGTGTGCAGAGAAGGCGCATGGAGGTGGACAGGATGAGCAAGAGGCCAGTGCTGCACCAGCCCCTAGCTCCAGGCAAAGCAGAGGGCAGCTTGGACCTCATACCTGCCAAGGGCAGCTCTGGAGCACCTATCAGCACAGCCTGGCTGGGGACTCATAAGGCTGGGCCTCCGTGGCCAGTTGGATGCATTGGGGCTGGGTCCTGTGTCCACACCCCACCAGTCCTGCCCCTGGCACTCATGGCCCCAACCAGCCACAGAGCCCCTCCCCAGGGGTCTCCGCTGGTCCTGAAAACCCTGCCAGTCCTCTCCTCCCACCCCCAAGCACACCTAAGCCTTTGGGAACCTGGGCTCTCTGCTGAACAGCCAGTGGGGGAGGGGAAGGCTGGGAGCCAGGCTTGGGGCTGCAGCAGCACCAAGCTGGGTGCCTTTCCTAGGGTCCTAGTAGAAGGCACTGCTTCATCCACCTCTGGTGAGGACAGCCGAACCCAAACTGCTAATGGCCACGGATTTCAGCTCCTGGAGTCACCAGAAACAGCCAGCCCCAGCCCTCCTTGGCATCTGCAGGGCCCTTGCCCACCCGGGTCTTCCTACACCCCCAGACCTACCCGGGGCCCATGATCTGCCATGCCACCACCGGCAGCTGCCCTCTGGTACTTGCAGTGCACATACCAGAAGGGTCCACCTCCAAGGAAGCAGACTGGGGACAGGACCTCACTCTGGACAGGGCTCTTGAGCTCAGAAGGTGGGCTAGCCAAGCAGGAGTGGCCTCCAGCTGGACCACCATGTCTCCTCCCTGGTCAGTCCTCTGCAGGGTGGGACCCTGGCTGTCCAGGTCAGGGCCAACTATTGACCACCCTATACCTCCCCTAATCCACCAGGCCCCACAGGAAAGCTTCCTGCTCCTCTGTAACCCTCCTCTGGCCACTGCCACACAGAGTACTCACTCACACCTGTGAACAGCCACAGGCCAGGCATCAGGACCAACCCAGGATGACACCAAGCTCTGAAAGACAGGTGGGGCAGGGACAAGAAGACAGCCCCCACACACGTGCAGCCAGCCAGGGCTGCACCTTTCCACATCCAACACCCCAGGCTCATCAACTTTAAGAAGCTGAACCTCAAACCAACATGGAGCCACAGGCCACAGACAGCCCCAAGCAAGGTCATGTGTAGAGTCCAAAGTAGCTTCCAGTCGACCTCCCACGGCTGTCTCATTTCTCAAGAGGCCCACCTCACACCCACTCTTCCAAGGAGCCCAGGGGTCTCCGCTGGTCCTAGCTAGGACTTTGCCCCACCCTCCAGGCTGAAGCACCTGCCTCAGTCCCTGGGAGCCTAGTCAGTCCTCACTCAGCCGACTCAGAGCCAAGTGCCCCAGTGGCCACCTTGATTCCAAGTGCACCCCAGTTCATAGGACAGAGCTGAACTTGTGGCAAGCTGGAGAAGTGTGGCCGCGGGGCTGCTGCTGGCTGAGCGGAAATACCAGGGTGCTGGCATCACCATGCCAGCTCCAGGCCTAGCAGCCGGGTCGCATGGCGGGAGGGGAGAGGGGAGCAGAGCCTCCGCCATGCGTGCTACTACCCCATGGCCCTGGCCCTCCTGGAGCATTGAGGGAGGCAACTGGAAGCAGGAGGATGGGAGGCAAGGTGGGACTGAGACCCAGGCCCAGACACCAGGGAAGGTGAGGGCCTGCCCCATCCCATCCCACAAACTGGCCGCCTGGCAGGGCAAAGAGCCACGAGGGACACGCGTTGGCCCGTCACATTCCTCCAGGGCCTCCCTGCCCCCATGCCACTGCTGCCAACTCCAGCAGAAAACACATCCTCAGGTAGCGATCTGGAGCTGTGCTGGCTCTAGCCCAAGTGCAGATGACAGGCTGCGGGCCCTGCTCAGACCTGCCCGATGCGCGCTGTGGGGGCGAAGGGGGCTGGGCTGGTGGTAACTGCCGGGGCCCGCCCATGCCTGCCCCTGACCTTTTCCATCTTGGGGACACATTCCCCACTCTGAGGGCTCCGGGTCAAGGAATACCAGGGGTGCTGAGTGGTAGGGGAGAGCAGGAGGGGCTGTGGCAGGCAGGCATCCCCAGTGTGGGCAGGACCAGGAAGGGTGAAGATGGAGAAAAGCAGGGCAGCCCACAGAGGGCATGCAGCCTGGGCACAGGGGAGAGCCTGCTGGCCAGCCTTGATCATGCTTGGCCCCAATTTCCAGGCTCCTTAAGGCCCAGGACGTCAGGTGGACACACTCCTATGCCTCCCAGTGGCTGGGCCACCCAGAAGACCACAGCCAGGAAAGGCCCTTGAGTCCCGGGGCACCTGCTCTGTCCACTCCCTAATCACAGGCCCCAGCTGCCCCTACCACAGCAAAGACCTACTCAACAGCCATTCCAGTTCCTGCCCCCACTCAATTCCAGGCCTGCAGACAGCCAACAAGCAGATAAGAACCTACAAGTTCTGATGCCTCAGCCCTCTGCACCCTACTGCCCAAGGCAGCCATGGGCAAAGGCCTGTCTCCCAAAGCAGGATCCCCATGTCCTCCTCCCAGCATGCCCAGGATGGCCAGGCCGGGACTCTTGTCTGTCTGGCCGACCCCAAAGAAGACAAAACGCCCCCTAGCCTCAGCTTCCCACCCTCCAAAACATAACAAAATCAAAACACAAACGAGAAGCTCCACAAGGATCACAGCACTGAGGGTCAGAGCGCTGGGGCCCACTGTTTCCTCTGGGCATCTTTATTCCAGCAGCAGGGACTTCCGCCAACACACATGCATTAGGCCCTCCCGACCCAGGTCTCAAGCGCCTGCCCGTGCCCCCGGGCATCCAGGAAACTGCAGGGCGGGTGCAGGCTGGCCAAGGGCCCGGTGCGGCTCCGCCAGGGCCTGCCCCAGACTGGCCCCAGCACGCGCGACGCACATGCCTCCGCCGCCTGCCCGGGGCCCGGAGCGCCTCGCGCCTCCCCACCCAGACAGACACGAGCGGGGCGTCGCAGGCACACGCCGAGGGCCGCCGCGCACGCGGACCGCTCTGCCCGCCGCGACCCCGCGCCCGCGCTCGTCGGCCCCGCGGCTCCTGCGCGCCCACGTGGCCAGGCGCGGACCGGCCCGCAGAGCACGCGCCTGGGGACCGCCCGCCGCGGGGCGCCCCCTGCCGGCCCCGCCCCGTCTGGGTGAGCGCGGCCAGTACCCCGCGGGGCCGCAGGTGCCAGAGTGCCGAGCTGGGCTCAGAGCGCTGAGAGGGGGTGGTGGTGGAGAACAGGGTGTGGGGAAGGGGCGCACCTACCGGCCAAGCGAACTGGAAGGGGATAACGACGAGCCCCGGCTCCGGGTCACCACCAGCCCGGGCCCGCGCGCGCGCTCGGTCCCCCGCAGCGCCCGCCGGCGGCAGGTAGAAGGAGTTGCCGCCCAGTACGGGCGTGGCGCCGTGGCCGTAGCTGCAGGGCCCCGTGGGCGTCACCTTGGCCTGGTACTCCTTCAGGCACACGCGCACGTACGTGTCGCACTCGTCGTGGCCGCAGCCCCCCGCGCGCGTCGTCCGGCCGTCGCCGTCACAGCAGGCGCCGCTCAGCAGCTCCCCGTTCACGTTCCGCAGCGCGCTCAGCTGCAGCTCGAAATAGCCCATGGGCCGCGCCACCTAAAAATAAGGCGGCGGGAGAGCCGAGGGAGGCGCGGGCCGGGGTCGGCCCGCCGGGTGCCCGATTGGGGGCAGCCCTGCTGCCCCGCCCCCACCCCGATAGCCGCGCGCAGCCCCGAGGGCTTCGGAACCGCTGCGGCCCCGAGGCGCCCTCCTGGCCCCGAGGGGCGGCCCGGTGAGCCCTGTCCGCGCCCCTCGCCACTGTGCGCCCAGCTTACCTGCACCCAGAGTGCCAGCAGCAGCAGCAGCAGCCATCGTG